CATGGCAGGGGACATGGTGGCCATAAGGGACTGACCAAAGGAAAATGGCACCAATGTGGGCGGGTCCTTTGAAAATATGAACTTTTCCACCCAGACAGCATGCTAAAATGTTTGGGCTACATTTCCCCCCAAAAAAAGATAATAGCAAAGCAGGTTGAATGGACCAAGAACAGGGAAAAACTGGAACGTGGATGATTAGAGGACAATGTTGTGTGAATGCTCCCCAAACCAATATTCAGATTTGGAAGCAAAGGCAGAGGAAAACATCCATGTGAAAGTAGCCTTGCTCATGTTTAAATGCAAGAAAACCAGTGTCGCACAGTGGTTAGATTAAGACCTGGGAGAGACAGGTTCAAATCCCCACTCTGCCATGGAAGCTTGCTGGATGACCCTGGGCCAGTCACATACTCTCAGCCTCACCTACCTCACTAACCTAATCTACTGTTGTGAGGATAAAATAGAGCAGAAAGATGTAAGCTGTTTTGGGTTCCCATTGGGAAGAAATGAAATAACAGCATGACATTTGGGGTGAAATTCTGGAGGGACCTGGACTTTCATCAGGTGACTATCTCCAGCATCTGGCTAATTAATCATGCAGTGTAAAGTATGGGGACCTGGTTACATAAGCATATGGAGACTGGACTGCATTATGTTGGAACAGCTTCCCAAACAGGAAGTGGCAGAAGGTCTCTGATTTTATTTTTTCAAGTCTTGTGTTGCTGAGGTATGAGGAAGGAACAGCAAGGAGTACTGCTTAGAGCCAGCAGTCTAAGAAAAGCACCAGGAGTGAACAATGAATAGGGATATAACTAAAGCTGGAGCTAATCTATAGTGTTTCCCCTCCAAATCTCCTGTTTCTTGCTGAACGTACATGGGGAAGGACCCAGAATATGTCACTCTATATTGTTCTATAGGATATGATACCAATATAGCAGTATTGCTCCAGCACTTAGAAAAGAGCCTAATGCTGAGAACCTGACAAAGGGAGCCCCTGCCAAAGGATTTGCTTGCAAAATTAAGAATGCTTGCAAAACCTTTGCAAAAATTTCTCCATGGATTTTATTTACCTGGGCAGTTAAATTATATTTTTCCAGTCAAGTGTTCTTGCTACTTTGACTGCTCTGTTTTCTTGTTGCTTTTAAATATACATATTTTCTGCTACTTTTATAATGTATATGGGTTGCAGTGTTAGAGTAAACAATACTAACCTTGACAGGCCAATGGATATTCTGAGATGGTCTGTAAGAGCATCTGCTGTCAATCCTCAAAGTGAAAATAACGAAGCTCTCTCTGACAGTTATTTGCAACATACTCAATAGTACTGTATACCCAAAGATTGCTAGGCTAACCTGTACAGAACCTTCCTTCATCTCAAAAGATTTGTTGTCCCAGAATCCATAGCATCCAATTGATAGAACCCTCTCTATGTATGTAATGGAAAGTTGCACAAGCACACTCCTTTATTCCATTCTTCTCCCAGGTAATTTTGCTTCCTCCTCTATGTACTTCACACATGCTATAAGCAGGAAAACATAAAATGCTAGCTGTACCATTAGGTTAGGTGCAGTCCACCACACACAGCAAATCTGGGGGTTCTGTTAAAAGGCAGCAAACTATCAATTATTTAGTTCATTATATATTAATATCAGCTTCCATATGCAAAAGACCAGGTTATCGCAGCAGTTGTGGTGTGGGCGGGACCCGGGCTTTGCCTTCTGATTGGTGGCGATATATGCTGAGGAGCAGTGCCATCAGCCATACACTAAGGGAGTGCATTTTAGAATTAGAACTTTGGCACCCACTATTCAATTATATATAAGGAGAGATCACTATGATAGGATACCATTGGGATTCTCTCCCCGATGTCTTGGGGAGTCTCAGACAGCATGTCAGAAGAGTGGCTGTGGCTTAGTAGCAGAGCACATACTTTACTGGCATAAATGCCCAGGTTCAGTTCTGGCATTCCCACTTAAAGGACTTGAGGACTAAGAGTTGTCAGTCAGAGCAGACAGTTTTCAGATGAAGTAATGGTCAGACTAAGTGACTTCACAGATGTCATGTTTTGGAAATGACACCACTTTATATTGCCTCACTGCCAAAGTAGACTTTGTGGTGCAGCGTCCATAGGTCTGACCCATGGAAACTGACAACTTTTTAGAGCTGAACTAAAGCTGAACTATTTAAAAATATCATGAACTGGCAGGACCCTGTGAGCTTGTCCACCCCACCCCCCCCATGGGAGGCTGTTCTGACACCTGAAAAGGTGGCAGGGGGGATGACGGCAACAAAATTGCTTGGTTCTGCCGGTTTGCAGCATTTTTAAATTGCTGAGTTCAGCTCTAAAATGGTGTTGGTGACAACACGTCAGAACCAGGGACACCATAATATCTACTTTGGCCTTCAGATGCATATGCTTAGAAACTGATCTGTGCAGTGGTTTCCAAATATGTATAATGCCAGTAAAATAAAGGAATTGTCTTTAGACATAATTGTACATATGGTCATATGAATTTATTTCCTATACAGGGATGATCTTCCATATAGGAAAACATGTCATGTGTGAAGCAGTCCTCAGGCTAGGTCTCTGATGCATCTTCACTCTGCAAATAAAGTCTTGCTCTTTGGTGTTAAGACTGGGGAGATCCTTCAGGACATGACTGTGTCCATGTTTGTTTTGGGCAGGAGTATTTGCACATTCTAATAAGTTTGAGAAAGTGTATTTTGTTTTGTTTTTTAGGAACAGTCATGACTCAGACACCAGAACATGAAAATCATCCAAAGTACTTTATTTATTTATTTTTAAACTAATTTAGTGGCTTGACTTTGGGTTACCTGGGGTTGAACACACTACTCAGATCTGTGCTTCAAGTGCAGCATGGGGCACTGCTACTTGAGCCACTGGCAGGGAGAGAAGTCTTGTAAAAGTTTTCTTTGTTCCATAGATAGTTGTGTGCAAGGTCTGGTGCTTCAGATTTTTGCTCATGGCTATACATGTGCTAAGGTGATGTAAGAACTTTACATCACTGGATGTCCTTCATGATTCTTGTTGTAGAAATGCAGCAGTACTTACCTTTTCAAAGTCTGCCACTTCAGGTATGTACGATGATCCCACCATGGCTGCTTTTAAGTGTTGTGTTACTCTAAGGATGCCATGAGAAAGACGATCCTGAACTCCACCTTCTTTCCATGGTGTGGAAGGACCAGACATACTGACAGCTTTCAGCATAGTTTTCAGCAAAACTGCCCTCAAGGGTCATGTCTATTCCAGTTTTTTTCCATTTGATATACTCCTGAACATACCATCGAGAATAGGTGCAATCTATATCTCATCTTGATCTCCTATGTTTGGGTTAACATGCTGTTTCTGGATTCTTCATAAGAAGGAACAGTTTCACAGAACCAAACTAGGATTTGCCACCAACTGTACACCAAGATGCACCTAGCACACCTTTCTGATGAGTATGATACACCTTTCTACAAATATGTGTTTGTTTCATTCACTCATACTTTTAGCTGCTCATAAAACCAACCTTTAGTGCAGATCTACAAAGTATAATATGTCAAGAGTGTGTGTGACAGATTTACAATAAAGTGTGGACAGGCTAGAAGGAATGGCCGAACTCTTTTCTTCACCATGCTTCCCATATCCCTCCCCCCACTAACAACACTTCCCTGTGGTCATTCTTCTCCAGATGGCACTCTGTTAGCCCAAATAAACCCAGATGTGGGGGGGGGAGGATAGCTTGGAAGAAGCAACTGTGGAAAGTGGAAGAATTCTGCTTTCCATCCTTCCCACCTATGCTGCATTTTAATTCTGTTCATTGCCCCTACTTCCCCTGCCTTTATAGGGGGTTGGCAATGACTCATATTGGGCTGTTTCACTTCTGTTATCTAATCTGCCATGCATTTCTCACTCTCAGGAATACTAAGAGAACAGTTAGCATCTCCTGTAGTTGTCGAACACTGAACAATCAAAGAAGGCTTTCTGTCTCCATTGCCCACTATTCTTGTCTTGCTCTACCATGCTCTGATATGTGTTCAGCTTATCTTATTAGATGTAATAGAAAAGCTCATGCAGAACTGACATTGGTACTGAAATGGTCCCAGATCCCCAAGTTTAAATAAACCCCTCGGCGTATTTTCAGTCCAGTATGTATATTTATTGACTGAATAATACAGGTATTTTGGTACAGCAAGCAGTGTGACATTGATTCACAACGTATACAAATAGCAGCTGGGCTGTGGAAACTCTGATAGCAGGCCATCATAATGTTGAAAAGGAGAACAGCTCCATACTTCATGGAATTTGGTTGACAGGAAGTGGTGATGGAGGGGGGCTATGAGGTCCCAGATGAAGGCAAGACTGTTTCCAACATCACTGGTCTTCAGAGCTTTGTCCCAAGCAGTGTGAAACTGTGTGGCTCCTACCACTTCTTAGGAAGTGGATTCCATGGTCCACAGACTAAGGATGTGTCTACATACAGACTTGCACCATTTTGACTAATGAGATTAATTTAGGTTTATGTAAAACTGGCTGTTCGGACTTTGTTTAGTCCAATCCAACTGATGAGGGTTTAAGTTAAACTAAAAAAGTGATTCTCCATAAAGAAATGATATCCTGCTTCCTAAACATGAAGGAGTTAGGTTGTTGCTAAAGGGCTAGTATTTGGCAAGTGGGATCCCTTTGAAAATAAAAAAAGAAAAGCAAACAGCACAGGTTCTGCTGCCACAACCCCTCCCCCCAAGGAATAAGAAGACAACCTCTCTGGTCCACACCATTTCCTAACACGGTCCCCACCTTTGCTATTTGCAATCTCCGTGGATCAGCGTACCTATACTTTATTATTTCCTGCACAGAATTTGAGCACTACAATGTTCCTTTCATGGAAGGATATTTCCAGTACTCCATTTGCTTGGGCAATTTCTTAGCCAACAGCATGTGCCCCAAATATCTCATATTCCCACCATGATTTAGTTAGAGGATAGTACTTGGTACTCACATCATCAAGCCTTCTATCAGTGCCCAAGGCAAGCAGATTGTTGAATTCTCTCTCCATCACCTGTCGTGCCTGGAAATAACATCAAATAAGACAACAGTAATGGTCTATCAAAAGGAAGCAACTAACACAAGGAACTACAGGAGACTAAGACTAAGAACACTATAGGAAATAATCAAGTATTTCCTGAAAGCTGATTTATCTTCTTGGAACACACTCAAAGTGAACATACCTGAAAGTGAACTAAAAGCATCATTTTACTGCAAAACATTAGAACATCTGTGAATGTAACCAATTGTAAGAACTGCATAAGGAGATAAACTTCCATTTTAAGGGCAAATGTATAATAAAGATCAGTGTTCCAAGTTGCCACTACAACTGAGCAAATAAGGTTACTCTCTGCTGCCTCTACAGATAGGACTCAAGCGTCCTGTCAATGTCTATGCATGGGCTATGAAGGAGGGATGAGTCATGGCACCACTAGCAGGCCTGTGGCTGTTGATTGGATCACTACTCAATTTCATATTCAGGTGACTTTGTTTTCTTAAAGCTGGAAGTATAGAAAGCCAGGATAACAGGGCAATGTTAATGCATAGAATTGTCTTAGGCTGCCTGGTTATGATCAAGAGATGTGCAAGAAAAATGGGCATTTCCTTTCATTTCAAAAGGGGGAAGAAACGTTTGGTAATGAATGGGCAGGGAAGGAATTTTTATAGTAAATTAATTGAATGGGAAAAGCTGGATGGGAAGTTAGCATTGAAGGGTGATATTTGGATGTTTTCTGATAATTAAATTGGAGGGTAATTAATTTGAGAGGAAAATCATCTCTGTAGGACTAGGAAAACTAAAGGAGAAATAATTTGATTTTGGGGGCTTACTTCACCTATGTCTTGCATTCAGTTTGTGATCATAGATAAGACACATGTCTCCATCTAATCCAACATCTTACTTTGAACAGTGACTAGCCAAATACCTTTGGAAAGTTTATACCAGCATAACCTCTTCAGTTTGTTATCACCATCTGGTATTCTAAGGTAGAATGCCTTTGAATTCGGAGATTCCATTTAGCGATCTTGACTGATGACAGGGATTCTGTAGGTTGGGCTCTGGTACAAGGAAGTATAGGTGAATGGAGTATAGTATAGGGGAAATGTGGTTGAGGTAGATTAACATGGTGTGAGGGGGTACTTGTAGAACCCTTATGTTTTCAAAGCACAAACTGCTACACATCCAGACTGAATTCTTCAATTTTTCAAAGGGCAATTGCTTCAATTAACATATAACTTGAATTTCTTTCATGTTCTCTGAAATTCCATTAATTATATGGCAGATACCAAGACTCAAAGACAGAAATATATGACATTTGTTCTGAAATATCCATGGATATTTCTTCTTACCTGAGTGTTTTGAGTGGGTATTTGTAACACAAGTGCCAGACTATTATGATCAAAATTCTCATCCAAAGCTATCAGTGCCCCATGGACTCCACTCTCAATGAGGTTGTTGGCATATTCTCTAAGCCCAATGGACTGAATCCAGTGAATGACTTGATCATTGGTCCAGACCAGCACATCTAGAAGACAGTGTGGCCATACATTCAGGACTGATAAAACTATCATTGAGAACAGTTTCCAAGTCCCCATAAACTCCCCAAGATAGAGAACAGCTTGTTAATTGTAACTAGCATCATTCACATGACACACACAGAGATCTGTGTTACACAGCCCACATGCATATGGCAAGGGATTGCACCCACTAGCTCTACCTCCTACTTATGCACTCTGATCCCCTCATTGGCACAGATCCTATATGCATTTGAATTGTATGTGCACAGGCTCCCACCCACATAATTGGAAATGCTGCTTTTCCAGAGTTCCTAATCACATGAACAGAGCCTATGAACATATAAAGGTATGCACAGTGCTGTTCTACATTACATAGTCCGTACATATAAGCTCGGCTTTAAAAAAATCTTTCTACATACCATACCTGGTATCACTATGTTGCATGTATAGTTACTATACTACTGTAAGCATAGCATAGTTACTGTTAACAACATACTCTCCCTCAAGATTAAACCAAAAATATGAAAAAAACCAAGTGCCAGGAACTGCAAATTTTAGTGAGTACATTAATTAACTAAAGCTAATGCTTGAATCATATGAATGAGTTCCATCACCATGACAAAAAGCTGACTGTGAAATGAGGAAATTATGTCTGCTAGCACTTTAAATTGTTACTGGTTTTAATATTGTTATTTATATTAATTGATGTTGATGATTTTACGCTGTATTGTTGGAATTTTATTCTGTTGTGTAAGCTGCCCTGAGCCGGCCTCGGCCAGGAGGGTGGGGTAAAATTTTTAACAACAACAATAATAATAGATAGATAGATAGTCTCTGCCGCAGAGCACTCTTCCACTAAGTCTTCTGCATGTACAAGGGCAATAGTTTTCAATGGGCCTTTGTGTAAATGGAATTGCTAGTATCCTGGAAATATAATAATAGAGAGTACTCTCTATTTCAATGTCCTCATCAGAAACAAATACTTTACCACCTTTCCTTTTAACAAAGAGCAGTAGACTTTGTTTATTATACTCTTACATCATTTTCAGGGTAAATTATGACTTTTGTGCCAATATATTTGAAGATTTTGGAAACAGAAACATTTACCTGACATATTAAAAGACAGATCATTAACCAACTAAAATTTACCACTATTCTGTTTCCTCAAAAACCCAAGGCAAATCCACGTAGGTGAAGAAATTGTTCACTAAAGTTCTACCTTGGGTCAGTTCTCCATTCGAGCTAACTCTGGAGGCTCTCTGTCCCCAAATTACCAAGCTCCCACTTAAAGCTAGAATTCCCTATATGGGGAAAGTTAGCAGGATAGTTAGCAGGATGCTACAAGTGAGACAGACAATTGGGAGAATGAATAAGGAAAAAGTTAATTCAGGAAATAGAATTATGACTCTTTTTCCAAACACACATTTTGTGCACATCAAATCTAGTATCAAACATTGTGTTTGTGGCAGCAGTCAGTTTCAAAAATGGCACCAAGAAAATTTGGTATGAGAGACTGATTCTTTTGCAGTTTGCCACAAAAAGACCTCTGTCACCTACCTTTGATTTCATGCTGGCTCTCCTCCCGCCTTCTCTCCAGTTCCTTCCTATCATAATTCAGTCTCTTCAGGCACATAATGCCATACTGCAGGCTTGTTCTGCAAAATATCAACAGAGAGTTTACTCCTAGCTTACTACAAGACCTGTCATAGCCTTCTTCATAGGCTGAATATGACTTGAGTGATGCTTTACAGCAATCTAAGATCATTGTAATTACACCACTGAAAATGTAAATCCACTTTTACAATCACTTACAATGAGACAAACTCTGTATACAAGGCCATTTTTCAGTCACAACTGGTTCCAAGAGCTTATTAACACTACAGTAAATATCTATAGCCATTTATGTTGCTGACGAAACATTGTACTGTTTATATCGCAGAAGAAAAGCCACACTGGTAAACATTCAAGGTCACTCCATTCTTCCCTCCTTATCCTCAGTGTCAGCTTTTAATAGTCTCTACAATATGTCTCGCATCAGAGTACTTCACTTAAAAAAAAAGAGAAAATTTTGTTGTTTTTTAATTGCCTGAAGGAATTTAAATAGACTCCACAAAACGTCAGAAAAATGGACACAGGAAACACCCTCCAAGCTGACTGCAACAAGACTATTCCTCTACTGGGATTTAAAAAAAAACACAGATCTATGTCTATAGACATTTTTCTTACCGATGGAAACTGTCTACCATCTTCAAGTGCACTCGGAGATCTTTCTTAGTCAGATGATCCAACATTCTTGCATCTACAAGACACTCCATGAAGTAGCTACGATACTGTGGGAGACCCAGACTAGGAAGCCATTCATTCCCTATCCACTCGTGGTTCATATCCCCATAAGCTAGTGTCTGTGAAAATAAAGACAAGACATGAGTGCACGCTCCTCAGAAGTGATTGCCAAATCCCATCTTCACAAATCTGGGATGAAATTTAAGACATTTCTGTAAAGGTCTGATAATCATATGTCTTGCACTTAGAAAAGCCCATAATCTCCTACTACTGATACTTGCTCTAATATTTTAAAGAGGCTATTCATTGACTATTTACACTGAGGTAGCTCCACTGTAGTCAACAATCGTAGGATCTATGTTACAATTTGGAAAGCAGCTTTGAAGAGTATGAATATATGTTATGAATATATGTTATAGACCTGGCAAAATTATGCATATACTGTATCAAGAGTACTCATGAAAAGTTTACACAGAAGGCACAACAAAGGAAAAGAGCAAGACGGTTTAGAAGATCTCTGAATCTGCCCTCCATCTTTCAGTGATGCATGTTTGGGAACTTAGGGAAATAAGTATTCAAAAAAGCACAGTAATATAAGCTTCATAGAGTCACTTCAGGTTTCCTGGGTTCTCCCCACTCACACATCTCCATGCTCCCAAATATAGTGGACATGACAGAAGATAATGCAAGAATCTCACCTGTGCCCAACTGCCCTCCTCATTGTCCTAAATGTAACAGTGTAGCATGTCAACAAAACAATAGGCAAAGTCAGTTACCACTACCATACACGGACTGAAAATACTTCAGATACAAAAAGAGGACAAACACTTGTGACAAAATGTAGACAATGCAACAAACCAACCGGATATTTGCACACAGAAGCTGCACACAACACCACAGGCATGAGAAGTGCTTCCATTTGAGACTCCTATTCTTTACCAAATCAAACTGTGGAATATCATGCTCTGATCATAATTCTGGGCCTCCAAAGGCTAAGCTTAAGAAACCTGGATCTACACTAGCCACAAAAGGGTTTGCTAATGGACCTGGAGAAAAATGACCTGAATCAATAGAGACTTAGTGGGATATTATTTACCGCCATGCTATGAAAAGCTTCACCTGCCCATTTCCACATATTAAGCCTCTATTAAAAGGGACAGGCCATTTTTCTCCATGGCAGTTGACAACCACAGCATCATATGACACCAATGCATGCTCTCTGCAGTTCAGGCAGATGGGTATGTTCAAAACACACAGATAAAACAGTTTTTGAAAGAGCAACAGATTCTATTCCAAAAGGGCTGGGCAGTGGGAGTGCAGTGTTCCTGTAAGTGACTCTGGGCTAATTCCTAGTAGCTACATATTACATTGGAACATGGGCCCAATGTAATTCCTGGGGGAGGGGTCAAGGCTCAGTGGCGGAGCATCTGCTTGGCATGCAGAAGGTCCCAGGCTCAGCCCTTCAGTGAAAACCGGAAAGGATCAGGTTGTAGGTGATATGGAAGATCTCTACCAGAGTCCCTGAAGAGCCACTGCCAGTCTGAGTAGATAATAATGATTTTGATAAATATAAGAAGCTTCATGTGTTCATGCATCCAATATGCTATTCATTCTTCTCTCTAGCCTTGCACAGATGAAGGACTAAGGATGGGCATAAACTGGCTGACAAACTAAAGTTCATCACGAATTTTGGCCAGTTTGTGGTTCACAAAGGGATGTTCACAAGCTGAAGCACCGCCATGAACTTCCACGAATTTTGATGCAGTTTGCGGCAGTTCATGGAAAACAGCTGAGCCATTTAAACCACTGCTTTCTGCTCCCTGCAAATAGCCATGGGGAGCAGAAAGCAGAGGTTTAAACTTTAAATGCCTCACTAACCAGTACAAACCAGTTTGGTTTGAGAACCAGCGTTATCAGTTTGTGGTTCAGTTTGTGGTACAGTCACAAACCAAAACAAAAAATGTGGTTCGTACCCACCCCAATTAAGGACCTTTGGCCTTCGTATAGAATGCTTTAGCAAGAGAAATATGCCTGTACTTGACTTCCATTAGTCCCAAAGCACAAATACTGGCTTGGAGTACAGTCAGCTGCCAGACTCCTAGAACTTGGATGCTTCCCCAAAAAGAGCTTCAACAAGAACAACTAAGTTACCATACACAAAAACAGGTTTTCTATTAAATAGGTCATCTGTATCCAAATTGAAAGGGATGCAAATTGAAAGGGACGCAATTGCTACTGCTGACTTGAAGCTCAACACTTGCGGGCCCTGAACAAGAAGAAATTTCTTTTTCATACAGGTAAATCATTTGGCTAGACTTACAACAGCCTCTAATTGTGGGCATGCTATACTGTAAAAGGTAGATTGCAATATTAATTCTCAAAAAGTTTTTTTTAAATGTGAAATGTCATCCCTGACAACTTTGCTAAGGATGAAATGGACACTGAACCATTATTATCCAAAGGACACTTACCGTTTTGGTTGAAGTTGCCATAGTTTCCATCTCTTCATGTGTGACCCAGACATTTCCAGATGACTACAGAGAAAGATCAGACAGGTGAACAGGTGAGGAAGGAACTTGTCATTCAAGCATTTTAACTTGAAAGCCATCCTAATTTAAGCCTGTGTTGATATGTAGATAAAGATAGTTTTCAGGGGCTGTCGTAACAAAGGTACTATGAAAAGTCATTCCAATTTACCCTCAAGACAAAGATCCTTAGGATAATAAATTTTGATGCTTTGAATGATGATCACTTTTCTCCCTGGTGGTAGGGATAGATTACCTTTGGTTACATTTCAAAGGAACAGAAGTGATGGAAGCCTCCTCTAGAACTTCATGACAGCAGCAACTATAACCTCTGTTTTTGTTTCCTCAGTTTCTTGCTTGTACACTATTTGCCCAGCCCTACATTCTTGATGGCTTCTAATTATTGGCCGCCACTCCCACCTCCACCTGCCCTACATTCCTGCCTTGTCTTGAGCCACCTCCTGTTCCTTTATATCAGGGTTCCCAAACATTTTAGAGCCTGTGGGTACTTTTGGAATTCAGACATAGCATGGTGGATGCAATCACAAAACGGTCACCATGGGGGGAGAATGGCCGTCACAGCTTACCTTCAGCAACATAGAGAAGATCCTTGTGTTGTGGTGGCAGCTGCTGCCAAAGCAACATTTTAAAAAATCTGCACAGGCAATCAAATCTCCAGTGGCCATTCAGAAACCTTGCTGGGCAAAAGCTGCACCTGTCCATACCCAGTTACTAAAAACATTTGATGGGCACCAGAAAGGTGTTGGCGGGCACCATGGTGCCCATGGTCATCACAGTGGGGACCCCTGATTTAGAGCAATGAGGGGAAATTAGAGATCAAATACATACGTTTTGGCAAGCGAAAAGTCCAAAGCAAGCATATGAGTTTTGCAGAGAGCAAAGCCTTCTTCAAATAAAGCCAACAGAGCTGGTGGCCTAGATTCAGGCTACTTCCACTGATCATGGGAACAGCCTGACATAGAGGCACTGCTACCATCTTATTTTAAGAACCTCACACGAAGCACAGGGCTTACTATGCTCTCATTGAGAAGAGATGGGAAGCAAGTCTTCATCAGAATGCTCGATGCTAGCCTTTGTGTCTCACTGAAAGGCTCTGGGATTTGGGTTTTAGTCCTTTACATGGTAAGGGAAATTAGTAACAGGGAAGCAGGAAAGCAGGGAAGATCTGTTAATCTCAAGAATGCAACATGCAATACTTACTGTTCTTGAGGTAGGAGGAGCTGAAGGACTTGTAAGAGACACCATTTCTTGAATGGCCAAACGCAGTTTTAACCGGTGAAGGGCATTACTGATGCCAATCTCTCTCTGTATCTCTGTATCTGATAAGGCAGACATGATGGCACCACTCTTTACATTGGCTCTGCAGGCTGCAACATACCAAGCAGGCATGCCCACCCAAAGCTGCAACAAAGAAAACCACAGATGGGATCATGCACACTTTCACTGGTTTAAGGAGGTACACCAAGTCATTAATGTTCTCTCCAACTTTTTCTTAATCTTGAAGGAGATAATTTTACTAGGAGAAATGAAGGCAATTAAACAGAATGTTTTTCTCATTAGTATATTTTATACTCAATTTGAAGGAAATTCTTGTAAAGAATGGAATGTTTGCAGCAGATTAAACGTGTAACTGATATAGGAAATGGGATTGCACCTAGTGTTCATATGTGAACATTTTTGGCCAGGAGTTGCCAAAATATACACACCCTTCTTCATTGATGTTTGCAGCCTGTTCCCTTTTTTTGATCAACCGGGGATCACACAGTTAGTGTGATAATGTCACAATGCCACATAGTCAATCAGATTTGGCTATGTGACATCTCAAAGGTAATTTGGAATAAGGTTAATGCTTTCTGGCAACATGAGAAATGGCCTTTTGACAGGGCTGCCAAAATTTTGGAACTCCCACCTGAGGATGATTTGTCTGTCTCCCTCTATCATTGTCTTCTCCCAGTGGATGAAGACTTCTGTGTTTTGTTAGGTGTTCCCTCACTAACTCTTATTAGTCCTCCTCTATGTTTATGTATTTATATGTGTTTATGTTTTGTTTTCAATATATATATAGTAAAGTTTGGGATGTGTGAATGTTCACCACATTGGGCACCGAGTTGGGTGAAAAGGCGGCAGAGAAATGTTTTAAATGAAATGTAGTGCCTGACTGCTGGTGTCAAGCTTGGGCACTTTTCACAGTGGATGAAAGCTTTTCCATTTTGTCTCAGCCCTAGAGTTGAACAAAATAATTATTGTTAATAATTTGTAGCTCTTGAAGTAGTCTTACCTCCAGCCAGGACACTACAGTTGGGCCATCCCACTGAGCAAAGGGAATGCCCTTTCTTCGAGCATCTTCCAAAAGCTCATGTCTGGAAGAACAAAACATTAGAAGAGCTCTGCAGGATCAGTCCAATGATCCATCCAGTCTAGCATACTGTTTCACACAGTGGCCAATTTGGAGGCCAAACCAACCTGGCATGGAGGCCAAGGCCTTCCCTGATGTTGCCTCCTAGAAGTGGTATGCAGAACTTTATTGCCTGTGCTAAGCATCGGAAGGAAAGCCTTTGGATTTTGGCCTCCATCACTATACTAATACTACTATTGTGCTAAGGGAAAAAATCCAGGTTCTGTACCACTGGAAAAGCCCTCAGAGACACACAGAAAGATCTGGACAGATGAGCTCACCTGTAGCTAATCTCAAGAATTTTTTCTAGCCATTAGCTATGTGGACAGGAAGTCACTGAAAAAGGAAGGGTTGTGAAGCTTTGGAAAGCTACCAAAATATATTAAGCAATCTTTCCTTGTAATGTGTACCTGCAAGGAAAGCATGGGCATACATAGGATAAGTGTCCTCCAACAGTGTCTCACCTGAACTGAGATTTCATTCTAGAATGCATCCCAGAATGTTCTGCAATGGCAAAGGGATTCCATGGCCAAAGCACAGAAGCTCTTCAGAAATGGGTAGGATATTTAAAAAACCTTTCTGAAAGGAATCCTGAACCAGCACACTCACTTTTTTTTAAGCCGTCGGTCTTTCTCTGCTTGGGCTCCCAGCTTGCCAAGACCAAGAGTGTCCTGAATGTTAATCTCTGAATCTGTCAGCATAACTGAGAAATGTAAAAGACAGAGGATTAGACTAGTGGATTCTGATGACCCACAGAGCTGGAAATACAAAGGGAAACTCATATACTGAAGCAAATCTTTGTATAACAAACACTTTGTATCATGTTTTTCAGTTGTTGCACTCCCCTTGGTATCAAGAATTTAGTTTTTTTCATGAGTATAATGAGCTGCACTTACACATGACAGTGGTATAGAAAGTATTCTTAGTGTAATATAGTGTGCTGGAGTAGTGCTAAAGATCTGATGCTTCAGGGTATGAGCAATGAGAGTTTCATGGAGTAACTAGTAAGGAATTTTATTTTATTAAGAGTACCATATCACTGTGCATTCCCACAAATATGTATATGGCGTTTTATTTTTAAACACTGTACATAAAAGCAATATTATTTCTGAATCCTGTACATGGTGCCACAGAAAGCCCTGTGTTGACATGTGCCTCAACACCCACCCTCTCACCTCCTCACTTTATTCAACACTTCCTTCCCAACTTCCCAGCTCCCTCAAACCTTTCCTTTCTTCTACTTCTGTTTTTTGCTTGTTCCAAGTGTTACTATTGTATGTATCTAGGCCTATTGCTGAACTCATTTTCAGACAGCTGGCACATGAAACTGGTTGCTTTGACAGGATGTTACGATATGGCTGTCATTTTCAGAGAAACAGCAACTCTATACAGAAGGGAGAAAAGCAATCACTGAAACAACCTACTTGGAGGGTTGTTTTTTTGCCTATGGGTACAGTCTTCTACAAACAATTCAAAAGGCCCATGCTAAAACCTTCTTTCTACTCTATTGCTATGACCACATTGCTATTGGATTTCAGTATTTGCCCCTTGTGGCTTTGCACACCTTCAGTTTGCCAGTCCTTATTATCACAACCTTTCATCCTATCCTCCCTCTCTTACTCAAGTCTGTTCCCCGTAAACGTGTCTACCATCAGCCTCTTTTGGGCAATGAGGCATGTCCTGGATACTCATCTGACCCTTTCCAGGAGATTCACAGTGTCAGTACAGGAAAACTGACTTATTTTCCAATTCTGACACTTCCAATTTAGTACTAAGGAAATGGGGAGCTGCTATTCCCTCTTTGGCTAGGTCTCCTGTTTCTGTCACTGTGTTTTCCTCTATATCAGGCTTGAAAACTTAGTTTATCATCAAAGCTATCTTCTTTATCCAGTGCTCCTCACCTTCATGATTTACTTTTGTGGCACATTGATTTTCAAGGGACCTAAGCACGTGGAATGATATAGTATAGCCCAATCTCATCAGATCTCAGAACCTAAATTGTGTCAGTATTTAGATGCAAGAGCATCAAGGAAGACTTTTTTTAAAAAAATCCTTAGATTTGTATCCCGCCCTACCCCAAAGACTTGGAGAGGAAGGGAATGGCAAACCAACTCTGCTTAATCACTTGCCTTGAAAACCCTGTGCAGTTACAACTTGGTGGCACTACACACACACACACACAGAGATGTCTTCAGGACTGCATTGTTTGGGTTTAATGCCTTGTGTGTACCAACACAGCTATTCTGTGCTGAACATCCCTTTTCCATCCATCCATCCATCCTCTATCCATCCATCTATCTATCCTCTATCATCTATTAATCCATCTATCATCTTTCAATCTATCATCCATCCATCCATCCTCATACAGCTATCGCCTTAAGCAGAAATTCACAGTCCTAATTTTCCAAACCTTGTTCCCTCCTCTCCATTTGTGCTTTCATTTTTTATTTATTAACCACCTCCAAGGAGTCTTCAGCAACAGTAGGATCGTGGCAACTAAAAGACGAATGAATGTATTGTGGCATAAGTTTCTGAGAGTCAGAGCTCACTTTGTCAGTGTTACTTCATGCATCTGCCAAAATGAGGTTGGGCTCCTGAAAGCTGCAGCCACACTAAATCTGTTATCCTTCAAGGTGCTACAGCAGATTCTAACAAGGTTCCCCCTCTGGAGTAGGAAGGAGGAAGATGATTATTTCTTAATGGGGGGGGGGGAGATTTAACTGGAAAGCTGCTTCCATAACTACTTTTCCATTCTACTAAGGATGTTCAGAAGTAACACTCTATCCAGTGATGTCACCTGCCCACAGACATATGGGAGGATAGCTTTCCTTTTACATGGGTAAAAGAAATTCACAGACCTTGCCCAATAGTACCTTCTCTGCCCATCTGCATCAAGCGAGCTTTCTCTTTCTTTCCAAACAAGCGCCCAATAGAAGATTTGATGCCTTTTCTCTTGGAGCCTTTGTGCAGAGAGTCCTGGCTGCTGTTACTGCTGCTGGGATTACTGGCCTGGTCCTCCATAGAGCTAAAAGATGTGAGGGAAGGAGCCAAAGGTTAGGCTAACAATGAAGAACACAGTGAAGCAAGATTAGCTTCGCAGAATTAATACTATTTCCTCTTTTTACCAAGACATTAATTATACTTTTTGCTGTGTGAAATGAGTCTTAAGATCCCCAGTTACTGAGTATTCATGTACAGAATCCTATATAGCAATCAGACTCCTTTGCAAGTCAGCCTATTTGTTCCCTTTCTTCTTCTTGAACCATTTTGCTGTTATGGGTGGAAGAGGTGCTGTTGCAAAGTGGAGAGGGAGGGTAAGGCAAGAGACAGTGGAGAACTTGCAACCTTTCACACTGAGGAAAGCCCCTAAATGTCCATTCCCTTTAAGAACATAAGGGAAAATACTGTTTTAGGAACTAGATAGGGGGATATCACTAGTTTAGACAGTATCTTGGTGTCATCAGTAGTCATTACAGTCAAGAGCCAGTTTGGTGTAGGAGAGCCAGTTTGGTGTAGTGGTTAAGTGTGCGGACTCTAATCTGGGAGAGCCGGGTTTGATTCCCCACTCCTCCACTTGCACCTGCTGATGTGACCTTGGGTCAGTCACAAGCTCTGGCACAGCTGTCCTTGAAAAAGAGCAGTTTGTGCCAGAGCTCTCTCAGCCCCACCCACCTCACAGGGTGTCTGTTGTGGGGAGGGGAAGGGAGAGGAGTTTGTAAGCTGCTCTGAGACTCCAAGTGAAGGGCGGGGTATAAATCCAATCTCTTCTTCTTCTTCTTCAATTCCTCATATTCATCTCAAACCTATTTGTATGCCTAGCAGTTTAGAAGTACCAAATGTTACTCTTAGCAGGCCAGAGCCAAGAATGAATATAAGTAAACAATACAACAATGCTGAACACCAGCCAGCACTTACATGCCCATTCAGCTACTGTCAATTTTAAGGTCACAATTCCATACAATTGGATATTTCAAGTCACAGAGTCTGCATCAAACCTGTGTGCTTGGGAAGTCATCTACAAAACCTTATTTAGTGCATAATTAGCTTACTTTATAAACTGCATGTTTTAATTTCATTGCTATGTAATGGAAAAGAGGTCAGCTGATTGTATCCATAAAGAGACTTCCACTTCCTGGTACCAGTTCTTCTTTCAGTCATCAAAGAGCAAGATTCAAGTCAGCAGGAAACATTTGCAGATGTTCATCATCTATGCACTTTGTTCTGATTCTCTTTCTATAACCTATTCAGTAGTGTAGTTTACATCTGGCCAACGAGTAGGCATATTCCCTCTTCATTTCCCCTGCCAGACCCCTATACCTCTTGCCTTCCTCTTGACTCAGTGCAGGGTGTCCAAGCTTCTCCAGCCGTAGAGTCCTGGGTGAGGAAGGAGGAGAAGTCTCACATTTTATGGTGGTTTTATCTTCTCGACTCTCATCCCGACCAGCTGGTGACTGAACAGATAAAGCAAGGTCAGAGTGCAGACTCCTGCCCATATACCTCCCTCCCATCTCTAGCAGACTCACCAGAGGCATAGCTCACCTGCCAGTTCAATTAAAGAAGAAGTGGAACAGGGCCACATGCATTCAGAATGTCACAGGGGTTGCTGATCACTGTATGCCCTAATCCAAAGGCCTGGATGACTGAGTGACAATTATCAGTGTCTTTTGGGGTGACGTAGCCCTAATGAGAGGGAATGGAGCCCAATAACAGCAGGAAGGAGGAGACAGGTTGTCACCTATCAGCAACAAGCAACAATGAGGAGAGCAGATGCTCCCTTCCCAAGGACCAAGCCAAAGTGTGAGCATCACGTAGCACACACAGTATGGGTTACTCTTTGAGTCTAACTAATCTTAACACTCTGAAGGCAGGAAAGTGTTGGCATCATGTAGATGAGCCTTGTACATATTTCTCTGCTTCATCTGGTTCTTGTTCTATTGGATCCAGAACAGCTTTCCATTACTATAAGGGTCATCCTTGAATTACCCATATACAATAAGGTTTCCACTCACTGGATTGGGGGCTGGCAGTATCCTGCCTGAGCCAGGGAAATAGGACTAAGCTGCACAATTCAAGCATTGGCAGGATGGTGCTCATATACTCTGGTGCACAGTTCCTTGGCAAAAGTAACTGAAGGGGCATGCTTAAAGTACACCACATGCATAAAGCAAGTAGGGAGAAAATATGTAAATAGAAAGGGAACATATGTTGAAATAATGCATTGCTCTCTCAGAATCTGGCCTGAAGCAAAGCAAAAACAGGTTGCTTACCTGTAACTGGTGATCTTCGAGTGGTCATCTGTGCATTCACACCCATGGGATCTAGTGCGCACGCGCTGGATCGATCAGCATTGTAGCAAGCTCTTTTAACTGATTTTCGCACCCAGCCCTTGGGCATGTGCAGGAACCCCACTGCGCATGCCCAGAGGGGAGGGCGCGGACATCACGCCAGTTCCTTCAAACCGCCGCAGATCAACCCCTATTGAAAATGTAGAAGCTGACAGCAACGGGGAAGGAGGGCGGGTGGTGTGAATGCACAGATGACCACTCGAAGATCACCAGTTACAGGTAAGCAACCTGTTTATCTTCGACGTCGTCTCTGTGCTTCACACCCATGGGAGATTAGCGAGCAGTGGCCTACCTGGAGGAGGGTGTTGGCAGGTCCTTTACTGCGTAGCTGAAGATAGAATGTGATGTCCCATGTTGGTATTAGAGTTTTTGCGGATGTCTAAGGCGTAGTGCCTGATAAAGGTGTTAGGCGTGGCCCACGTAGCGGCTTTGCAAATGTCCATCAGGGGCACTCCCTGGAGGAAGGCAGTGGAAGCTGCAACAGCTCGAGTTGAATGAGCCCTGATAGGGCCGGGCAATGGCTGTTTGGCAATGAGGTAACAGAGGCGGATGAGACTTGCAATCCACCTTGAGAGACGCTGAGCCATGATGCTGAGCCTTGATGGTGCGTATGAGACGAATAGTTGGGAGTCACGTCTCGCTGGGCGGGTTCTGTTCAGGTAGAACAGGAGCACACGCTTCACATCCAAGGTGTGTAACAGTCTGTCCTCTGAGGATGTTGGAGCCAGGAAGAAATCCGGGAGGAAGACCTCTGCCTGTAGGTGGAATTCTGACACTACCTTTGGCAGGAACGAGATGTCAGGTACGAGGCAGATGCCGTCTGGCAAAAAGGACAAGTATGGCATGTCATTCCTGAAAGCCAGTATTTCTCCAACTCGCCTTCAGAGGTGACAGCAACCAGAAAGGCCGTCTTCCACGACAGACATTTCATATCGCAAGTTGCGAGTGGCTCAAAGGGTTTCCTCGTGAGCTGGCGAAGAACTAGAGGAAGGTCCCAGGGAACGACAAGAGTTTTGACAGGAGGGTAGAGATGCAATAAACCTTTTGGTGTAGTGGTTAAGTGCGCGGACTCTAATCTGGGAGAACCGGGTTTGATTCCCCACTCCTCCACTTGCACCTGCTGATGTGACCTTGGGTCAGTCACAAGCTCTGGCACAGCTGTCCTTGAAAAAGAGCAGTTTGTGTCAGAGTTCTCTCAGCCCCACCCACCTCACAGGGTGTCTGTTGTGGGGAGGGGAAGGGAAAGGAGTTTGTAAGCCGCTCTGAGACTCCAAGTGAAGGGCGGGGTATAAATTCAATCTCTTCTTCTTCTTTTTTTAAAAAACGTTTTGAAAGGGGATGGGAAAACAGTGTGCATCTGTCAACTTGAACATGGTAGGCCGAAAGGGCGGCCAAATAAACACGTAACGATGAGTGGGAAAGTCTCAAGTCAGCGAGGGATAGGAGGAATTGGAAAACTTTATCGAGACCCGCGGAGGTGGCTCGAGGGGCATCATCACCAAGGGAAGAACAGTACCTTTGCCATTTATAATGGTAGCACCTTCGCATAGTAGGTTTTCCGGCGTTCAGTAGAACGTTCGCTACGCGGGTGGAAAAATTGTTGACGTCATTCTCCACGCTGTCAATTTCAAGCGTGGTACGTCGTGATGTAGCAGAGGGGAGTCGGACAGGAAGAGGAGATTCTGTGCTGGAGGGAATTGGTGGTATATCCCTGTTGACAATTCGAGGACGGTCGAGAACCACGGTTGCCTCGGCCACCATGGGGTTATCAATATGCAGTTCACGCTGTCTTTGACGATTTTGCGGACCACTCTCAGAAGCATGGGTAAGGGGGGGAACAGGTAAAGGAGGTTCTTGGACCAAGGATAAAGGAAACCGTCTCCTAGAGAATGTGAGTCCCTGCCTCCTCGGCTGCAAAACAGAGGACATTTTTTGTTGGTTCTGGTGGCAAAAACATTGACTTGGGGAGCTCCCCACCTGTGGAAGAGTGGGAGGAGGTAGGTTGGGTTCATTTCCCACTCGTGGAGACTGAGCCCTGCTTGACTTAGATGGTCTGCCTGCACATTCATGTGTCCTGGGATGTGCGTGGCTATCAAGAAAATGTCGTAGGTGATGCAAAAATCCCATAACTGGATGGCAAGGTTGCAGAAACGTAAGGAGACCGTGCCTCCTTGCTTGTTGACATAAGCGAGTGCAGTGATGTTGTCCGTGAGGACTGTAACACATTTTCCCTTGATCAGTGGTAAGAAACTCTTGACAGCGAACTGCATTGCAAGCAGTTCCAGGAAGTTTATGTGTCGACCTTGTTCGTGGGTGTTCCACTTGCCTCCCACACACATGCCCATCATGTGAGCACCCCAGCCCGACAGGGAAGCATCTGTGGTCAGAGTGATTTGGGGTGATGGAGGATGGAAAGGTGCTCCCTGGAAGAGATTGGAAGGGACAGTCCACCAAAGTAACGAGTCTCGTATGTTGGGAGGAGGGGTTAGGAGGACGGTATGTGCGTTTTTCGTTGGGGCATACTTGCGGATAAACCACAGTTGTAGACGACGCATCTTTAGTCTGGCAAAGACGAGGACCAACGTAGTTGCGGCCATGAGGCCGAGAAGCCTCTGAATTTGGAAAGCCATGACTGAAGGCTGGGTAAGGACGACATTGGTTAGGGAAATGATGTCTGCCGCTCTGTCTTGTGGCAGGTAAGCCATGCATGTCTTGGAATCCAGTATAGCACCGATGTACTGTAGTCTTTGGACTGGACGCAAATGAGACGACGACAGGAGTAATGGGGTTCTGGTGGAATTGGATACGGTAGCCTCGGGTCAAGATGGATAGTACCCATTCGTCTGAGTACCAGGAGCCAATCGTCAATATAGGGGTAGATGGAAATACCCCTGAGATGGAGAAAGGCTGCAACGACAATCTTAGTCTTTGTAAAGACCCTCAGGGTGCTTGACAGGCTGAATGGCAGGGCCGCATATTGGTAATGCTGTTGACCAATTGCGAAGCGTAGGTATTGGCGGTGGGAGGGGTGGATGGTGAGGTGGAAGTACACATCTTGGAGGTCGAGGGTGGCCATCCAGACATGTTTTCGGAGGAGCGGCATAATCTGTTGCAGGGACACCATGCGGAAACAGTGGTAGGTCACAAAACAGTTCAGTGCCCTTAGATCTAATATGGCTCTTCCAGGAGAGGTGGGGAAGGGGGTGTGGAGACGACGACAGGAGTAATGGGGTTCTGGTGGAATTGGATATGGTAGCCTCAGGTCAAGATGGATAGTACCCATTCGTCTGAGGTGATATGACGCCAGGTGTGAAGGAAGGGTTTTGCACTGACTCGGTGAGAGGGAAGTAAAAAACCCTGTTTGGAGGGTTTTGCCTGCTTCGTGCGAGAAGAGTTTTGCCCAGATCCAAACCGTGGTTTTTGGAAGGTGGGTTTTTGGCCTCCTGAAGAAGTCTGCGGTCTCCATTGTCTGTCAGGAGACTGACGACTTGGGGTACGCCTTTGCCAGGGCCTGGACCAGGTGTGAGGACGGTATTGTTGTCTCGCAGAGGAGCCAGGAATGTCTCCTCAGAGCTATTGCAGAGGCCATCGTTCCCGAGGAGGCGTCTAGGGCATGTTTTGAAGTGCTGATCATCTGTTTTGCCAACACCATGCCTTCCTTTTGAATAACTCTGGCTGCCTGTAGTTTATCTTCAGGAAGTTGAGTTAGGATTTCAGAAAACCTTTCACACAGAGTGTATTGTTATCTGTTCATGCAGGCCAAGTAATTTGTGGTTTTCACTCCCAACGCTCCTGTAGAGTAGAAGCATCAGCCAAAGGCATCCAATTTCTTACTTTCCCTGTCAGAAGGTGCAGAGTGAGTTCTTTTAGATTTGGAGGAGGAGGTTACAACCATAGAATTTGGTTGAGGGTGGGAGAATAAAAATTCAGCTCTAGTTTCCTGGACTCTGTACATGTGCTTCAGGCATCTAGTTGACACTGGGGCTGATGAAGGCTTCTCCCATGGTGCCTTAGCGGCTTGTAGAAGAACCGTAGACATAGGTAATGCCAAAGTGGCAGAGGGATCGAGCTCTACGATATCAAAAACTGCATCAGACACTTGAGGGTGTTGTTGGACGACCGAGAGGCCTAGAGAATGGGGCATTCTTTTGACGAGATCTGTATATGACGTGAGATTGTCAGATGGGGATATGGGTAGATCATCAGTGACAGCCTGATCAGGGGACTTATGGTCAGGAGAGGTATGAACCTCGGAGGCTTCGGTATCCAAATCCTCTTTCACAGAGTCAGAGGAATCTTGGTGTGGTATTTGGACCGGAGTGACCTCAGTTTGATTGGTTAATGGTTTAGGTGGTACGACTTGGGGATTTGACGGACGACTAGGTTCCGGATCGTGGTGGGAAGGGTCGTCCTCAGGAGGACGCAACAAAGATGCCAAAGGTCTTGACCTGTAGGGCGACCGTGATCTGTGGGCAGAGTGGGACGAATAACGATCCCAGTCAGATTATCCCACCGGAGTCAGCCATGGCATGGATGGTGGATAACCCCCATAAAGATACCTAAGCTGTCGTTGATCCCAAGACAGAGGTGGGGGGGTAGAAAGACTCGGGGGGATCGACTTCTGGACCGTGGACGTCTCGGTGACAAGGCGGCAGCCTGCCTTTGAGAGTAGTCTCTGTAATCCCGGTCGTCGATATCGACAGATTGAACATGCAGACGTGGAGGGTGACGCTGCGTGCTGTTAGAAGTACATCGATCCCGACGGGAATCGATTTCAGGAGCCTCCGATACCGTCGTTGTCTGCATGTTCAATCTACATCCATCTGATGACTTAGGAGCTCTACCGTCTCAATGTCGGAGTAAGGACGCTCCAATTGGTGTATAGGGGAGTCCAATAATTGAATGGTCGGTATCAGTGGAGGGGCTTGGGCCTCCGGTATCGATACTGCCGTTGGAGCGGGAGACACTTTAGGGGCATCACCCAGTGCAGACACCGCTACCTTCCCCTTCTTTGCCACCTTAAGGGACTTAGAGGAGCCCTTCTTTGCAGACTTGTGCGCCTTACTTGGTTTGGCCTTCTTTTTCACCGGCGTGGAAGCAAAGGATTGCGCCTTCGATGCCAGTGGTTTTGCCTTCGGTAGAGCGGTATCGGAAGAGAAGTGGGCGGCAAGGCCGGAACCGTCGATGTCGAAGGCCTCTCGGAGTCCATCACTGTGGAAGGATGCAACGCCGACTCAAGGAGTGCCACTTTAAGGCGCGCAGGTCTATTTTTTCGTGTCTGGTTGGAAAAGCGAGCGCAGTGGCGACAGGACTCAGGTCGATGAGACTCTCCCAGACAAAAAATACACAGGGTGTGATGGTCTGGTTTAAAAAGCCCCACTTCTTCTCCATAAAAATAACAGCGAAGAAGACAGAAGGGGTGAGGGGGGGGTAGCCTGAAGGCCACACTGAGGTAAACTGGCAACTTCCCCCTCAGTTGTAAAATAAAGTTTTTTGTTTTTTTTAAGTTTTTAAAAGAACAAAGAAACACTGAAGAAAAAAGGATAAAGTGAGGAAAAATCCGAAGAGCCATGAGGCAAAAGCCAAAAAAGCAAACCGATCAGACCTATGAGAAAGAGATATTTCCAACACGGCGGTAAGAAAGGAACTGGTGGGATATCCACGCCCTCCCCTCTGGGCATGCGCAGTGGGGTTCCTGCGCATGCCTGAGGGCTGGGCGCGAAAATCCGTTAAAAGAGCTTGCTATAATACCGATCGATCCAGCGTGTGTACACTAGATCCCATGGGTGTGAAGCACAGAGACCACATCGAAGATCCTCTGTTACAGTCACAATCGTCATTACTAGTCATTTCTTAAGATTTCTACTTCTGTCAGACTAAAAAAAGAAATAGTATTCAAGAAAAAAAAATCCGTTTTGGCTTCCCCGGCTGTGCACAACATTCTTTGTAATTCAGTAACATTTAATGCTGCAAGTAGAGTCACCCAAAGCACCTAATCAGAGATACAAAACATGCTTCCACAAACACCATAAGACTCGGCCATGTGAGAAACTGAATGCTACAGTTTAAACAGGAGACTATATTCAAGCTTATTTGTACTGAGCACATCACATGCAGGTATGGAGGCTGAAGGCAGATACAGATAAAGCAAAGAAACAGGTGGAGGCATGCAGGACCTGGCAGTGTTATGCTCACTGCTTTAGACAGCAGGGTTGTGACTGTGCTATGAATTGTGGAAAGTGGGTTTTGAATGCTAAACCAGCAGTTCTTGTAGAACCCTAAGGGTTAAAGAGTCGGACTCGACTGTGCAACTGAACAACAACAACAAAGGGTTAAACTACACATTAAGCAGGAGATCTGAATGTGGATCTCCTGTCATTTTCCTAAAGATAAAAGTAGTGTGTGGAGGGGGGGGGAGTTTAAAGGCTTCCCCAAGTAAATTCCCCATCCCTCAGATCTACTGTTTGCTCCAAAGGGAGAAGCATACAGGTATACAAATATGACAGGTTTACTGTTTCAAACTCTCACTGAAAGGAGAACTGAATTTAAACAACCACTCCAAATCCTATCTGAGTACTGGGACAATGCAGAATGACCTGGAAGGGAGACATGCTTAATTCCTTGCAAGTGAAAGACTGCAAGGGTATCAACTCTTTCAAAAAAAGGCACAGGCTGTACACACTTAACAAATCTCAAAATTTATTTTTTAAAATTCCAATTTTCTGTTCTGCTGAAGAAGAACCATTTTGGTTCTCAGTCTAGATGTGGAACTTCTGTACTCCACATCTTTTCCTGTCCATATCTTTAACAACTTCTCACACTTCACAGCTTTTAAAAAAATCTCCACAGTCCTCAACTAAAAAACCTACCCGCAGTACACATATGGATCATATAAGTCTTACATTATTGTCACACAAATTGGGGCTTCCAATTTCAGACTGAATTTTAAGTGCAGATTTCTAGACCTTCTGGCTTTACAGCCATGCAAGCAAAATTCGACAGAATATGTGGAGACTGTTCTATATCGATGGGAGGAGTACATGTGAGAAAGTACTGAATCACCAATATTGCATGCATACTAAAGCCCACTAGCTGCTGTACATAGATTAAGACCCTCTAAACAAAAGAAAAACTTATTTTAAAAGTCTAATGGCAAGGTAGGTGGGAGATGTGTTGTATGTCATCAGTGATGTAACAGGCCCTAGCCTAGAGATGATATATTTACAGATATCATTGGACGCACGAGCATGGCTATTTGTCTTCTAACACAGATTAAAACAGTTCTGTGTTGAAGATGGTTTGTTACCCACAAATCAACCTGGATGAAAGCCCTGGATGAGAAACCGATGGAAGTTGGAATGTTGATTGATGATATTTTTGAGATGGGCAAAAATAAAGCATTTTCTTTGATCAAAAAGTGAGTCCTGGAAACTGACCATAGTAGTTTGATTTTCAGAGCCTGCAGAGTATGCTCACCCATATTTTTTGGTCTTTTTTACCCAAAATCTTTACCCCTCACATGTACTATTTTACCATTCCATGTTAAGGCAGAGCTTTTTTGTTTGCAAGACTGAACATTGTACCTACAATGGTTTTGCAAGGGAGATTTTTGAATATACCATACATTACCAAAATTTCCCCTTGTGGCCTTAACAGGATTGATACATCCTTTCATGCCCTGCTGGAATGCAGATTTTTTGAAATTATCAGGGATTACTATATTAAGCCTTTATTCAACCAATTGTTCCCCTATACTCCAGAAACCCTGGCTCTTTTGCTCAGTGATAAGGATCCTAAGACCACTCTAGCAATTGCAAAATTTGTCTCAGTCCTTTCAGCCCTTGCATCTAAAAAATAAGAAATAAGTGTATTCTGCTGCTCAAGATTCATAAATCAATGAGCTTCTAAGGGTACAAAAGGAAAAGGAAGAGATGATATATTGCCCCATCACATTTCACACAACACTCCAAATGTCATTCCAATTCTAGAAAGGGATCACATTCTCTTTGCAACAAAAGTATTTTGGTTTGAGTAAAGGGAAAACATGATATCTCTGCAATAGAACTGCTGTCTTAAGGAAAGACCTCTGGATTGTCTGCAACGACTGAACAACAGCTGTACATTTACTGCTGAACAAAGCACTTGTCTAGAAAAGTCCTTAGGGTGTCATAGATGCATATATAGGATAGAAAAGGCAGCACATGTGAAATACTAGGTAAACTTTTATCTGTCTTAACTGCATATCAGAATGGTCCACTGAGCAATTTAACTTGCCTATGCATAGCTTCTTGTTACTTTCAGCATAGGTGTCTTCTACAGAAGAGCTGCTAAGCTGCAATGTCCAAAAACCCAACTTTACCATGAGCATGAATCATGCTGCTGTAAAGTTGGACTTATATGGGATCTATAGATGAGTCTGGGACATCCCCCGCCCTTTTTATAGGAATAAATTTGGTGGAAGCTGTTTAAAGACTGCAACTAGCATCCCAACTTTCCACAATACAACCAGCTCCACATTGCTAATGTTCTAAAAGTGCTCAACACTGTTATGACAAGTTTAGCAGAGGAGCAGAAGGGTTACACACCAAAGAAAAGGAAGAAACAGACAGACTCACAAGCAGTTTTCTTCGGTGTTTCCTCAAGTCACTGGGCTGTCAATGGCAGGACATGGAATGGATAAAAGTTAGCCAACATGAAATCAGGAAACAGAAGGCAGAATGCTAATATTGTTTTAATTAAAGTTTTATTAATTAAAATATTTGAATGCTGCTCATGGGAAAGGCTTGCTACATAGACTTGACATAATTAACTGTATCCACGTGAATGAGGACTTCCGAAGGCAGTTGTGAGGAAACACAGGGCTTTTTGTGTGGAAACACAGGACTTTTCCACACTAGGTTTTGATACTGCACATCTTCTTAACTGCATGAGGTTTTCCTCTCCCTTACAGATGGTTACATGAGCTCGTTGCTGCTCTCCCCAGCTTTTTGAAAGTTTTCCCCATGTTTTTTCCAGAGAGCCTCAAAGCTGGCTTTTAAAATGTTGCAAAAACTAGAAGATCAGCAACCAGCAAACCAGACTCATGTCTGATGAAGGGAGCTTTGACTCTTGAAAGCTTACACCCTAAAAATCTTGTTGGTCTTTGAGGGGCCACTGGACTAGAATGTAACTCCTCTACTGCAGACCAACATAGCTACCTTCTGAAAATATCAGCAAACCATATGGTCTGTAAGGAAGGGGGGAAACCCATACATTTAAGAAGCTGAGCTGCATCCAATACCCAATGTACAAAAGCCTATAAGAGTAACTTTTAAGAGCCTGAGGGAGGACTATGTGACATGGCTGCAGTATATCCAATTATTCTACGGAAGGTATAGTATACTATTAAATAACCCAGTTGTCTTTCTAGTCTGGTTTATCCCCCCCCCCATCCCTTTCCTGCTTACCAGGGTCATGCTGCAGATTCGATCAAGATCTTGAGCTGCACTGCGAGAGGTGAGCTTGGGAGTGGAGCGCCCACTGATAGGAGGAGATGAGCTGGCCAAGGACAGTGCAGTTAGGGAGGTGGGGATGGATGCTCTCTTGCGCAGTTGTGTTAGATTCAGGGCCTCCATGCTACCACTGGTGACACGGCTCTGTAACTGTTCAGCACGCAACTCTGTGGACTCTTTTTCCTCCTGGATCATTCTAAAGAAGAATATGTATCTCAGCACTGCATCTTCCAACGTATCCTCAATACAAGCACTACTTGGAATTATTCCTCTCTATTGTTCACACTATAAAAGTATTCAAAGTATTAATAAAAGAATTCAAGAGTTCTGGGCACAAAATCCCCAGCTGACAGACCAAACCCAGAATTCAAATATCACCCAGAGAGCAACCATCTGCCTTTCTTCTTCCTGATATGTTATTTATTTTCCAGAAAGTTTTTCTAGTTCTTTGACTTGTTAGCCTGCTGACGCCTTATATGGCTTATAAACTGTATAGCTGGACTGTGCAAACTGTGTGCCAGGGGAAATGGACTGCACTGAGACAATGCCAACTTACTGGACGGAAGACATGTGCCCAGCCAAGGGAAACCTTGTACTGAAGCAGCATGTTAGACCAGACGTGGACCCATGGAACACCCGATTCCACCCATCCCTGCATCCTCAAGGACACTGCAGACCCAGGTAGATGACAAGCCACTCTCCCTGATCCTGCTCACACAGAGATTCAGCAGCAGTTCCAGAAGAGAAGCCATGCTCAGTGACAAGAACCAGGAATATTCCTGCCCAGACGCCAAGAAAAACTCTCTTCTACAGCATGCAGGCATCCCCCCCCCCTCACATCCTCAGGTGAAGCATGTATGCAGCCTCAACCTACACAAGAGAAGCTTCTTCTGTGATAGGATTAGGAAGCAAGTCTGTCTGCCAGCCACCCATCTTGATGATGCCGCTGTTTAAACATCTGGTTGTTGAATCAATTACCGACGATGCTGCCAGACTGTTAATCCTTTCTCTCCTTTAGTCTACCTTTCTCTCTGAGAGATGTTACTATTAGAGAAACAGTATTTCTATTGCTCAACCAGTAATCCCATTCTCATGACCCATCTGGTTTTTTCCAGTATTTCCAGAAGGACTACGTGACAGAGCAAAGATCTGCCTTTAGTCAGTTTAGGGTATAAAAGGAGAGAGAGAGCCACCCCATCTCTCTCTCTGCTTCTCCCCACCACCACCACCTTGCCCTGCCTCATAGGTTCCATCCTAGCGCCGTTTGGAACTTTCCACATGCTGTGCTTGTCAGAACACGATCTCTTCCCTTATTGTCATTCTATTTTTCACTGCAGATTCTACTCACAGGCTACAGCATCTGGACAGGTACGTATCACCCCTCGACGAAATGCCTGCTAATGCAAACGTCTCTATATTTTTTCTACCTTAATTTCCTAGCTCTGTATTGTGTGTTTTGATTGCTTGATTTTATATTTGTGTGTGCGTGAATATTCCCTTAGTATAAAAAAAAACTAGTGATTTTCAAAGACCTAGTCTCTGTGTCTATTTCTGGCACTTGGATAAAGTGGGACTCTGGTATATAAAGGTCATGATCCTATAGTTATGCCAATTGCACATTAATATAATTCCCCAACCTTTTATTAAAGAAATATAGCAATTTGGCTAACAGACTAGAGCGTGCACATCTATGTGGCTAAGCAGCGTGGTCCATGTTCAGGTGCAAGTGTAGGAGTTGGGCTAGAACATAGTCCTTCAGATACCAGTAGAAATTCCAGTTTTGTATCAGCCACTCTTTTAGGCACTCTGCCATCCCTTACGTGTAGCTCACATTTTAAAAAAGATTTTCAAATCTGAAGTGCTAGACAAGAAATCTTTTTATTACAAGTTGCGATCAGATGTGTTCAAATTACTATTATCTGGGCTCCATTCAACATATTTCTTGCCCATTTAAAAAACTCAAGGTAACATTAATTACAATAGTAAAATAGTAACCAAAACCACTCCAGTTCTTATTCTGTACTTCCTGTCGTGTCTTGTAACAAAGTTTTTGTGAAGTTAGCAAGTTTCCTGTGTTTCAGATTCTTGATGTATAAAAGGCTCAGTTACTATCAAATTCTTGCTATGGACTCACAACTATGAGACTGAAGAAAGGATAGATTATTCATTTTTGTCTAACAACAACAATATCCCCTCAGAGCACATCTGAATGGTGCAAGGATACACTTCTGTTTGGCACAGTGTTGGTTCAGTACTGAGACAACATTAGTAACCTGCCCCTTAGACTAGAATGGTGTTGGATGCCCCTATGTGGCTGAATTATTCTGAGGCAACTGGATTTCCTTTCCACTCTCCCTTCCAATCTTGCCAACATTTGTTCCTTTGTTTGTAGGTTTCCAGAGAGAGAATGCTAAAATACTGCATTTCTTCATCCTTTACATATTATGAAGACTTATGTTTTTTTTTTAAATTATACTGTATTTTAGAGATCTTCAGAAGGATGAGACTAGAGAGGAATGAAGAGCTTGTACTTTCTATTACAAACCCATGGCTCTTGGATTTTGATCCAGTCACACAACATCTATTCCTGAGTTTCCAGGTTGTCTGAAGCCTGTTTAGAGCATGTTTGTTCCCATCTCAGTGAACGTTTCACATTCCCAGAGATAAATTACACAGCTATTTGCTTCATGAGCATGCATGGTCTTAAGTCAATAGCATATGGGCTGGACTGATGCATTTCATACCTGATCTCCTCATTGATGGCATCCAGCTGTTCCTGCAGCATCATGGCAAGGGTCTGGGCATCAGAGTGACCACTAGGAGAAAGCATGTCCATAGAGCTAAAGACTGTCTCCCGGTCATCCTCATCAACATCAGAGATCTCTGGATCACTGTCAAAGGAGTGAGCTGTGGTGGCCAAGACCCCACCTGGCTGAGCAAGCTCCCAGTCCTGCACACAAGAAATCATAAGATAGCTGACTCAGAGCACCACCTCTCCACTCTCTGTTACAAGACAAAATGTTACAACCATGCTCAAACATCAATATGGAAGTGCCACAGGAAATGATGCCATTTTTGAAAGCTGTGCCATGCAATCTCAATTGGCCTGTGTTGAGATTGTGCTTTAGAAGAATTTGGACATGGTCCAGCGAGGATTTCCTGTCTCTGAAAGACGTGCAGGCCTTTACATGGATTCTATCAATAATAGGAAGTGTCGTCTCCCAGCCAACTATATACCTAGTTAGCTACCTCTCTTTTCCCAGCTGTATGTGGTATCTAGGCCAGGTGCAACATCAGTCAGACAAGGGGCCAGGCACACCTATAGAGATAGCAGTGAAGCAGGAGAAGAAACATCAGCCTTGTTCTTTGCTACTTCACATGACTGACCCAGGTTGGAAAGTGGCAACCTGGGTCCCTGTTAGTAAGAGGGCCACAGATACATTCTTACAATAAATTCACAAGGAACAAAAATCTGCACAACTAGAATTCACTTTGCTGTTTCAAGGATTTTATAATGCTTATAAACTGTACTGGCATTTTGTTTTGCTAGGAAGACTGTTTTGGCCAATATATTTTGGGTTTCTCATATTTAGTGCAGTCTGGGCATTACTTACCAAATTAAATATGGAGTAATACAACCGTGACTAAAAATTATATAAATGCAAGTTTCAGCAAATGCTGCACTGCCTGTCATAAATAATCGTGGCTTGTGTTCTGCTTTGAATCCTATCACTTTGTTCAGCCAAGTCTGAAGCCTTCCTCGGATGTAAGAGGCTCTTCTTCCAACAAAGGAAGCCTCCTTAGGCTGGAAGAGTTTAAATTTGGCTGAACAAACTGGTAGGATTCAAAGCAGTAAAATTAGGCATAAAGGTGAATAATACAAAGCCACAATAAAAGTAGTATCTAGATACCAAAAAACCCAAACTACACACTAGAGTACTTAGCTGTTGATTCGCTTTTTTTAGCCTCCGGCTCACACATTTTTGTCTTAGCTCAGGAAGGATGGCTACAGAGCAAACTAATTTATGCAGTAGCCAAATTGCTTGCTCACAATTTTAATGCCAGTAGCTCACAAAGTAGAATTTCTGCTCACAAGACTCGACAGCTTAGAGGGAACATTGGTCTCTGTTAGTGGGCAGGTGCTAAATGTTTGCTGATTACATCAGTGGTTGCAATTTTCTCAGATATTTCCATTAGCATCACAGCAGGAAAAAGCTGCAGATAAAATTCCCTGCTACAATCAAAGTCACTGATATTCTGTTATGTCCATGGTTTGTCAGCTCTATACACAGTGACCTCTTTACACTAGAGTTTAACAGGTAGTACCTCATTACTAATCAACCTTCTTCTACCCTTAAAGAAAACAAATTCACCAAGGCCTTTGCTAGTAACTCCTGACATTGTATTTTTTTATAGTATATTTAGTAAACAAGACTG